AGACAACTAATGTATTCAATATTGAGGAGGTCAACTTCTCATTAAGTTGAAGAAGAAATCTAGTATGATGAGGGAGTGTTGAGAGAGGGCTTTTTAGTTAAAGATCTCTGGTCAATTGTTGATCATATTCTCATGTTAAGATGGTGAAATGAGTGTCCCCTTGAAGTTTTGATGAAAACTATCCCATTACATAAAATTGATTCTCGTAGACTAGATGCTTAATGGGATGTGAGAGGACCACCACACTACAATCATGCTCATGAAGTTAATGTGAATGCCATTTGGAGACTGCAGTGATGTTGTCCTCTCATAAGAGAATGTTTTAAAAAGTATCTTTCGCTGACATTGATGAATATCAAATGAGTGAGAGAGTTCTTGACAATCCTTTGCTAACATGTTGATGTGTATCAGTAAAAAATAAATGAGGGGCCAGGCATCCCAAACTTCAAAACTGCGCCCAACGGGACTTCATTTCCTATAGACGATGCCAAACTATCACCTGCTAAAAAATTCGTGTTAGTAGAGTGATGATTTAATTTCTTAGCTTTGTACAAAGATCCAACATACACATAGATAAAAAAAAGTGTCAGAATGATACATCAAGATTTTTTATGTGAAAAACCCCTAGAAAAGAAAAAAATTATAGGACCTAGCCCAACCAAAGTAATATAATATAAATTATAAGTCTATAGGTCTACTCTTCTCTTAAATTAGAGAAAAGAGAATTACAACATGGATTATCATAGATGTAATATAGTCATCCGAGTTTAATAGTCATAATTGGGCCACAATAAATATAGTTCTTGATGATGATAACAATAGTGAGCCACAAACGTTGTAGTTGATTGCTATAAATACATTAGTTTACCACATAGACTAATGTTGGTGGTTGTGATAGCTTTAGTTGGGACAAAAGGGATAATTGGAAGGTTTAGTAGTACTTAGTCACATAGGTCATACTTGGCCACATAGGTCGTAATTGGAGGCTGCGGTAGCAGTTAGCTAGATAGGCCACAATTGGTTACATAAGCCATAATTTAAAGTTACGACAACAATTAGCTACATAGGCCATAATTGATTACTTAAACTACATCGGTAGTTGCAATAGTATTAGTTGGCTAGAGAGACCACCATAATTCATACTTGTAAGAGCGTTAGTTGGCCACAAAGGCTAGTGGAAGTATGCAATGACAACAATTGACTACATAGCCTTAGTGGGAGACCACAGTAGTAACTAAGCACATTGGTCATAAACGGTCATTACAAGAACGTTAGTTGGCCACATATGTCATAGTGGAAAACAATAATGACAACATTTGACCATATAGGTCTTAATGGAAAGCTACAATGATGACTAGCCACATAAACTAAAATAGGTCTCTCTAGGAGTGCTAGTCAGCCATAGAGGTTGTAGTGGAGTTTTGTAATGACAACAGTTAACAACGTATTTTGTAGTGCAATGCTACACCAATAATAAGTCACTTAGGTTGTAGCGGCTCCACAAGAACGTTAGTTGGCCACAGATGCTGTAATGGAAGGTTGTAAGGACAACATATGACCATGTAGGTCGTAGTGGGAAGCTACAATAATAACTGGCCACATAGTGATCCCGAGTTTCTATATATAGAGATATAAAATGCGATGTATGTGCTTATATTTATAATATTTCAATATGGGATACTACGCAAGTATACGTATCATTATCAGTAATATAGAATTTTCTAATTAAGTCCTAAATGTCAAACCCACATGAAGGATTAGTTTTAGATAACAAAATACTTAACAATATATATTCTTACTCAAACTTAAAATGTTATAATAGGAATAAAAGTTTGACTCTTTTTGTAATTTTTGATAATTAAAAATAAAGTAAGCAACTAATTAACTTAAATAAAATACTTGCAAGATGAATGCAATATAAGCAAAATATCTTTTTTCTTATCATGAATCAGTGATAAACTTAGAAATTCAGTTGTGGAAGTATGCTAAATGTGTTGTGTCAAATAGGAGCAATAATATTCTTTACCCTTACTAGAGATGCTATAAAGAACATTGGTTAATCTATAGTTTGAATAGTCTTGAAGACCGGCTAGGCAGGGAAGATACTAGCTCTCACTCTAGAGTTCCCTCTTTTCCCTCCACCTAGGGGCTAACATCTCGTATCAAAGCCTAAAATAATCAAATTGAGATCTTTAGCCTGTCACTCTAAATTCCTTTAAATATACGCCCTTGAAAATATATTTCTCTATTTATTTGCACTCAACTCCATAAACTATATTCTCATTCATGAAATCAATATGTGATTCCAACCATTTTTTGACTGAGACAATACCATCTCGGATCTTACATGTTCTTGCAACAGGTTTTAACATCTTAATTGATCAAATCAAGAAGTAAATGAAGTGCAAGGTCTTGAATCATCACAACTTCTTCCAACATTGAAGTCTAATACTTCACACAACTTACTTTAAATATTTAATCCCTTATCATTTTAAGAAAAAAAATAAAGAAAATTACTCAGAATCCATGGAGGAAACACAACCACACATGAGTTTAAAAGTAGAAATCATTCACATAGACTAAAAATCTAAATTACAAACTAAGTTTAGTCACAAAGATAAATACTTATCTCAAATTCGCTCCACCAAATGTCTTGAAGTTTCTTTAAATTCTCTTCCATCTCTCACAATACAAACTAACACTCAAAATAAAATAAAATAAAGTAAAGGTGGCTGGCGGCAGCGGTGGCGATGGCGATGGGCGGCGGCGGCGGCAGTTGTAAATTTTGGTGGTTGGTTGCTGGCCCCTCTTTTGGAAAAATCTAAGTCTTTTCTTATAAAAATCCATGGTGTGTCTAGCTATCTTTTCAAAAAGGTGTCTCCATTTAATTAGTTTCTTTAAAAAGGTGTCTCCATTCAATGAATCTTCTAGAAGTTGTCTCCTCATAAGCCAATTAAATGAATTTCATGTCCATGAGCTACATGTCCCGTTTTTATCAAGGGTTTCATGTCCATGAGCTATTTCCCACGTTTTTATCAAGGGTTATTTCAAACTTCTGCTCTAATTAATATTCTAATTAATATTTCTTCAAGTAACTAACTTTGGCGCTTAAGCGAGAAGTACGTGGTGCTTAGGCACGGATGCTCTGACGCTTAGGTGCCCCAATTCTTTTTTGCTTCAAATTTGACCATTTTTCACTCATTTTAGCATTTTACATCTATTTGATTGTACATACAAGAAAACACACAAATATCTTTCACTAAAATGCAATATCTCAAAAATATGTATAAAAATTTGTACAAAAATACTATATATTTTAGGTGTATCAATAGGCCGTAAAGGGTTGTTGCAAGAGCATTAGTTTGGCGTATAAGCCAAAGTTGGTGTTACATTGGATAGTGACTGCAACCCTTCACATGGGTTTACTATTTTACATTAGCAACATCACTTGTTATTACATGACGTAAGGAGATAATTTTAAGAGTTCGAAGATAATCAATGTATTTTGAATACGACAATTGTAAAAAGTTAATTTCGGGAATTATCACTAGATCTTCAATACACCATGTTTAGGATACTCTACTACACCACATTCAGGATACTTTGTTACCCCATATTTGAGATACTCCTTTAGATGGTATTCAAGATACTTCATTATCACGTACTTGAGGTACTTTGTTACACAGTATTCAGGATACTTTATAATCTCGTATTTGAGATACTTCAGTGCGCAATATTCATGATATTCCATACCCCATACTCGGGGTACTTCGTTATTGTATAGTCAAGATACTTCATTATCCTGCATTTAGGATACTGTGTTGCACAATATTCAAGGCACTTCATTACCTTTTACTTACGTGCTTCATTACATTCGAGATACTTTGTTGCCCCATACTCGGGATACTCTATAGCCTCGTATTTAGTTTTCTGGATACTTTGTTATCCCGTTTTCGAGATTCTCCGTTATATAGTATTCAAGGTATTTCGTTACCTTGTACTTAGGGTACTTCGCTACACTGCATTAAGGATACTTCATTACACAATAGAGTTCACAGACGACACCGAGCAGGGGTAGCTAGGGTGGTCGACGACGGCCGATGAACACTGATCGATGGTGGTTGGCGGCTATTGATGCTGAAAGTTTTGGTCAGGTCTCTAGTCCATAGCAATACTAGAATTCAATTCCTCCTCTCCTCTGAAGAAGGGTATTTTAGTCATTCGGAGAAAAACTCCAATAACCGCTTGATCAAACATTTCACATTGATTTTCCTTGATTATATGATTTTTTTTTAGTGATTAGAGGGCTTTCATGACCTCAGAATCGCGGAAGCTTAGACTAATTGGATTTCCTCTTGTCGAGCCGTTCAATTTGAATTAAAATATATCAAATTTGAAATTCGTTTGACCATCCAATTAATGACTCGAAACTTCCAAATAAACTTTAATGGCTTGTTCAGGCTTAATTGAGCTCGAATTGGACCAATTCATGTATCATTGATATCGTCTTCTCGAGACCGTTGATTTGGCTATAAAACTGTCGAAATCAAAACTTTAAATGATCTTGAATTTGAATATGAAACATTTTTACTCAGAGAATACATGATTTATGACATAATAAAAATTTGTTGACAATGAATCAACTATAACATATATATGTATACGCGCAGATAAATATTAATCAGGCACCGGTTGATCAACTATAGCAGTTAGTCTCACCGCCGTTCTCCGTCCCTATGAAGTACAAAAAACCTCCTCCAGCATCCAACCATTGTATCAATCAATAAACCATCACCACCCCTATTTATTCAAAACCAAGCAGAACACATGAACAAATCTTAAAATATGCTAAAACACTCACGAGCTCTCCGCCCAAGCTTCCAGACTTAACCGACCTTCATAAGTACTCATTGCCCACAATACCCAAGCTGAATCACCTAAAAATTCTATAAATTCTAGTTCTATTTTCTCCACTTTCCATATTCATTTCTCTTCACGTTTTACATCAATGGAGGTCTTGAGGATAGTTATTCTGCTCATTCTCTCCATGTTAAGTGCAACAGAAGCAGGGCCAGACCCTCAGGTCCCTTGTTTCTTCATCTTTGGCGATTCTCTCGTGGACAATGGAAACAACAATGGCATCCTTACTCTTGCAAGAGCAAATTACTTGCCATATGGTGTTGATTTTCCTGAGGGGGCTTCCGGCAGGTTTTCCAATGGCCGAACCACAGTTGATATTTTAGGTATATTTTCATAATTTTCTATTTATGAAACCTTTTCTTAGTTTTATATCCTTACTCTTGCAAGAGCAAACTAGATGCATTATTGGCATGCTACAATAACATATGCTTAAATGTCACGGACCAAAAGTCCCACATCGGCTAGGTGTAGGGCTGAAATGCAGTTTTTAAGTCCTGAGTTGTCCACCACCTCTAAGAGCTCTTTTGGGAGGTAACAAGTGGTATCAGAGCAAATTATTACCTGTCATGTTTGTGGACTCTCCATGGTCCAGTGGGACCCCCGGTGGAGTCGATCCATGACAAGGGCGTCACGTGATTGGGTGGAAGAGAATGTCATGGACCAAAAGTCCCACCTTAGCTAGGTGTAGGACCGAAAAACAATATTTAAGTCCTGGGTCCACTTAGAGCTCTTTTGGGAGGTGACATTATATATATATATATATATATATATATATATATTTTTTTTTATTTCGTATAACAAATCTATCTTATATGAGAGATCTTCATTACGTATAATACATCAAGTCCAATGCCTCGTTAATTGATGGTCGAGGAAGAACATAATGTATTAAATCGCACTTAATCAATTGGAGCCATTGTTGGAGTTAACTGCTCTTAAAATTTACTCAAACATGATTGTAGGAGGAATATTTACGTACGGAGAACAGAGAACGAATGTGGCTCTCCATGCGTAATCCCCTCCTAATAACCACTCAATAACCTTTGCGAAGATTATTGGGGGGTTATTTCGACGTTATTTGGAGTCAATACTCTCCACGGTTACACTTTCAAATTTTGCGGTTACACTTTCACATTTTCTCCGGTGTTAGTGTATTAACTCCAAAATCGCCGAAATAACTCCGCAATAACCCCCAATAACCTTCGTAGAAGTTATTGAGGGGTTATTGGAAGGGGATCACACACGGAGAGCTGCATGCGTTCTCCGTATGTAAATATTTCTCTGATTGAAGGCACCATGGTTCATAAGTTAAAAATCACACGAAGATTTTTTCCAAAATGGCTAGATCTAATACCACTTATCAGATAGTGTAGATCAAAGTAGATCAAAGATCACATTCTTTAAACAGCAAGCCTTGAAATCAAGATTCAAAAAGCCATACGCTAACATGTCAACACCAACAACTAATTTGCTCTATATTATCTATATGGTGAGCCAATATGGATGAATAATAAGCTAACTCAGCTTAACTCAAGTAACCTAATATTTTCGTTGAATCACTGTGCTTCTTTGCAGCTCAATTGTTAGGTTTTCGAAATTTCATCCCATCCTATTCAGCCGTGCAAAGAAATGAAGTGCTTAGAGGAGTGAATTTTGCATCAGGTGCAGCAGGCATCAGGGATGAAACAGGAAATAACTTGGTACATAACTAACATTTTAAAGTTGATCATTTACATCATATAACATATCAGTTTTTAAATCCAAGGCAAAAATTCGTTGCATTTTTACACAATGCAGGGTGAACATTACTCATTCGCAGAACAAATCGAGCATTTTCGAGACGTGGTTCAGGTCATAAGAAGATTATTCCAAAGAAATGAAACTAAGCTATATGATCATCTAAGCAAATGCATCTTTTTTGTTGGAATGGGAAGCAATGACTATCTTAACAACTACTTCATGCCCAACTACTACACAACAAGCTCTGACTTTAGTCCCAAGACATATTCAGCTGTCCTCCTGGATGACTACTCAAGGCTGCTTAATGTAACAATCAACATTCCAAACTGTTCTGCAAAATCAAAATTTACTGAATAATCTCTAATTTAAAGGTTTTTTTTTTAATATCAGCAACTATATGACTTGGGTGCAAGAAAAGTCACAGTCACAGGCATTGGGCAAATTGGTTGCATTCCTTATGAACTAGCAAGGCTCAGAGCTCCTAAAAATAAAACTGGAAGTAGATGCAATGAGAATATCAACAAAGCCATCAACATATTCAACGCAGGACTTCTGCAGATGGTGAAAAGATTTAACAGCGCAATGGAAGATGCTAAAGTCATATATCTCAACACCTATGAAAGCTCGAAGGACCTCACTATGAATGCAATTTCATATGGTAACATATATGAATATTATCAGATTAATGTATTAGTGTATATGTTACTGTTATGTGAAATATTATCATTTATTTGTATGATGCAGGCTTCACTGTAGTTGATAAAGGGTGCTGTGGGGTGGGAAGGAACAATGGGCAGATCACTTGTTTGCCACTCCAGACCCCATGCAGCAATAGAAGCAGCCATTTGTTCTGGGATGCATTTCACCCAACAGAAGCCGCCAACCAAATCTATGCCATGAAGGCGTATAATTCGACGTCGGCTTCCGATGTGTATCCAATCAACCTCAAGCAGCTTGCAATAGCCTGAAGCTATAATTGATGCTTAACTATAAGTTCTTATTTACTTTCTCTTCATTTTCATGAGAAGATTGATATATCATGCCTAGGAATCTCATTGTAACTTTCAATTTTATAGTGATAATTCACTCAGCAGCACTTCCTGTTAATCACCTCTAAAACAAAACTTGAGAGACTTCAACACTTCGTACAGCTCAAGGACATTAGCAAATAGTCCAGTTGGACACAGAAGGTTAGAGATAGAAAGCTACAAAGAAAACTGGAGAGGATAGAAATAAGGCAAGAAAGAACTAATTAAACTTAGGGATTGAGAGTTACAAGCTGTTGTATGTTCATTGGAGAGACAATATCCGAGGTGCCACTGAAGGACTGTCTTGCCAGTATGATATTTACTGCTGATGTAGGGTGGAAGGCGTCCCAGAAGACATAGAGATCTCTGTTTAGGCATGGAGGCTGCAATGGAAGGCAGCTGATCTGCCCTCTGTTTCTTCCTATTCCGCAGCAGCCACGATTGGCCACACTGAATCCTGCAACAAGAAGATCAATTCTTATTAATAGTTAGAAGTAAGGAGCAGTGAGATAGCTTATAAAACCCTTCTCCTACAATGATTTTATTAATTCATTAATCGTAAAATGTAGGCTTCTTGATTTTTAAAAAGAAAAAAATGGAAGAAAATGCAAAACTTTAAAAATGGATTCCTATTTAAATTAATTTCATGCCAGTTTCTTATTAAAAAGCTGATGTGATGTTCTTATAAACTGATTGTCTAATAAAATGGTACTACAACTACAGTAATGGAGGAATCAGGAGGAGTTGGGATATAAACAAGTTGAGTGGAGTTCGTAACACCTCCAATTTGAGTTCGAGTTTGATTAATTGGGTGAGTTCGAGTTATAGATCATGAACCAAATCATTTATGATAGAATATAGATTTTAGGATGGAAATTTGGGCTTGGATTGATTTACAATCAAAACTACACCGTGAAAAAAAAGACCACACCGATTCAAAAAAGTCTGAAATATAATATCGAACAAAAATGCAGAATGAAGTAATCCCAAAAAAACATTCCAAAATTTAACATGGAAAAGCACGAGAATGGAAAAAATCACGAAGCCACATCAAACCAAAAATTTCACTATGAAAGAAGACATGTAAAGTAATTTACACTACTCAAATCTTCTCTTGACACCACTAAAATGTAAAGCAGTTATACTCCAAATCATCTCTTGATCGCACAAGAGGAATCATGTGTTCCAAAATCTACCTCAAACTCCACCACTTCATAGAAAATTTCTTCAAGAATTCACCGCTTGCAAGAGTTTCACAAGAGAGGGAGAGAGTGTTGTCACGGTGAATCGATGACTTGAGAATTAAATCAAGAGAAAAACTACCACTGATGTAATCACACTGCTCCTCATTATAATCATTCCAACCGCTCTATTTCAGAACCTTGAATAAAAAAAAATGTAGCATAGGTATGTCGCCACTTTGCGTAACCGCGCAGTCCGACATAGCATTTCCCAATGCTGGCATGGCCACACTAGTATTGTGGCACAGAAGCGTAATTTTTATGGCACTGAGGTTCCCTTACCTTTGTCGACGCTATCGCTTCAGCCTAAGTGGATCAGACTCCACACTCAACAATCTCCTACTTGGTAACTGATTTAGTCTCACACCAGTAAAACATATAATAATTTCACTCCAACCTCACTTTTGATCACACAATGGAAATTAAATGTTTCAAAATCCCCCTCGCGAACTTCACTATTCAACAAAAAAGCTTTTCGAGAGTTCACTGCACATAAGGAATTTGCGAGAGAGAGAGAGAGAGAGAGAGAGAGAGAGAGATCACTCTGAGTTCAGGGCTTAAGAATTGAATTGAGAGAAAAATTACCCCTACCATAATCATGACGCCCCTCATTGAAATTATTCCACCACTTTATTTTGGAATCTGGAATTGAATGAACTGTGATGTAGGTATGCCGCTACTTGGAGTAATCATGTCTACATGCATAACTACACCAATACTACAGTGGAAATGTCAGTACTCTTGTGGCACACGATTGCCATTTTTCTGTCATTGGGGTTCCTTTGTCTGTGCCGCTACTATTACTTGAGCCCAAGAAAATCAGACTCCACAATCAATAATCTCCCACTTGATAATTGATTTACGCCCAACATCTGTCCTCTAGATCTACACCAACATCTCTATCACCTTCAGAGTTCTGTACCATAGTGTAACCCAACTTTGGTCCCAACCTTTCTGGACTCCAATAAAAGTTAAACATAGCTCCAATTTCTCGATAGTCATAGCTTCAATCAATATATTTTGAAGGTTCTAAACTTGTTGTATCTTTTATAAGAATAACTGTCCATCTTTCATGATAGAGTGAATAAAATGATACCTCAATTGAATATGCTTTATCCTGACCTGAAAAATAATATTCTTAATAAGATGAATAATACTTATACTATTACTATAAATCTTTCTAATCCTCTGCTCGTTGCATAGTTCTACCATAAAACTCTGTAGCCAAATCATCTCCTTACTCGTCTCAATAATAGTAATGTATTCGACTTCCCTAGTTGAAAGTATAAGAATCTTCTACAACCTAAAAACCTAACTCAACCTTGTGTTCCCCAAAATAAAGATAAACACTTTTATACTTCTTCTAGCATTCTAATATCTTATCAGATTTGAATCCACAAACCTCTATAAACTGATTCTTGAACTTTAAAATCAAAGTTCATTGTTGAATATTTCACTCAAATACGTGAGAATCAACGTCACTACCTCCCAATGAACTTATCTGGGATTACCCATGTAACTGTTGATCACTCTTACTATAATTGCAATATTTGTATGCATACATATCATAATGATGCACAAAATTGTTGTAAAGTAATTGATCAATTACAGAAGTATACATATCTATCAAATAATATAAGAATAAAGAGTGTGCTTATCGATCCTACGTATAAAATTATCAAAATGTTCTAACAGACAAAATTTTAGATTACTAAACCTTTGAATCTAGTTTAAAATGTCAGCTGTACAGATATTAAAATTTTTAAATCCTAAAATGCATAAAACTAAACCATGTTTTGTTGCAGTTTTTCAGAGATAAAAATTTATACTACTGTGACACCAATCTAGTGATTTCTCAATATTGTTTTTATGAAATCTTATGTTGTTGTTGAAATTAGGGACAATCATCCTTATCATATATCTTGGTCATAAGAAGCATTGAAAATTATATTACAATTAAAGGGGGTCTAACCATGCAATGTTTCATAAAAATCTTCTAGACCTCTATCTTGGTTGAAATTTACTATTCATAGGATATTGTGTATTAACCTACTTGCTCTTTTAAGAGACAGTTAGAAGTACATGATCAAAAGAGATTTAAACACTATCTAGCTATATTAGATGTAAACTAAGGTTGAAAAGTTAACATATCAATATATTAAATTCAAATATAGAGAATGCATCTTGGGAATAAAATTCATAAAATAAGTTAACGATAAAATCACATGACATAATCAGAGGAGCAAGAAAACAATATTAACTATGATACATAAGAAAAAAAATACAAAAATTGTTATTGCGGGCATAAAAAAGAAAACTATACAAGAGGTACAAAAAACTCAATCCCAAACCAATCGGTCCTTATATTACATTGTGATCATCTCCCTCTTGCAAATGCATTCAATCTCGCCTACCAATCTCTCTAAACTCTTAACTAAAAAATATGAAAACTTGAAAAATTGGAAGAACCCTCTTGAAAGAACCCTAATGAGAAACCCTAGAGTAACTTCTAATAAATCTCTCTAATTTTTTTTGCTTTTTGTACTTATTCATTTTTATAATTCCATTAAAAATTATTATATCTAGTTGAGCATAATTTTGAGTATCTAGTCTCCCCTAATTAATAATTTCTAATCACATCTTAATATGAATCCTCGAATCTTATAATTAATTAAAAAACTAACACTTAATTAAACTAGCTGAATTGAAAATTAAAAGGCTTAAAATATCACTGATTAGTTATTTATATTTATAATTAAACATTCTTAAATGTTCATGAATGATTATATTATAGGTAGAAGTGATAAAGTAAAGGACTAAATTATTAAGACATTAATTATAGTCCTCTCCTTTGATTGGTACACAATTCCTAATAAATTTTACATAATTTTATAAATACTAAAAATTCTACTCACGAGGCATTATACTAAGTGATGTCTATCGCTTACTTATGTCAATTAATTTTAAGCAAGTATACATGCAAATCTTCTCCACCCTCCCTCCCAACTTATTTTTTATCATATCCATATGAAATATTGTGAAAATAATCTAGCATGCAATAACAAGGAATCAAAATGAGAAAACATATTACAGTGAAATAATAACACATGGAGATCGACAAATGTAACATATAACAGTGCATAAAAATAATATCATTTTACATCAAAGCACTAGCATGAAAAAATATAATGTGATAATTTGAATCAACCTGAGTAAAGCTTCTCCAAATACTAACATGAAATTTGCTAAGAAAAACAATCAAATACAGTCAAAATAAATTCAAAGCAAATTTGAAGTAAAGTTCAAAGCAAATGCAAAGCAAATGCAAAGCTAAAATATGCTCAAAACACACAGTAACGCTTGGGTTGCCTCCAAAAAAGAGCAATTGATTTAACGTCCTTAGTCTCACTTAAGGTTAAATAAAACCTAAAATCATTTCCTTTCATTAGAATAATTTCCATTTCAGTAATCCTTGATTGATCTCATAATATTTTTTTGTTTGAGAGCTTTCACTAAATCCTCAGGTTTTAGAATTTCTTCAAAATTTCCACTCTCAGTTTGATAACAGTCTTCCAAAAGGTATGTAAGATGTTGATCCAGATTATAATTCATAAGGGTGTTTTTCAAATCCAAAACTCTCCCAAATAACCCCACTTTTTTGCAGATCAGTATTTGCCCCACTAATTGCAAGAAATGATTCCCTAAGAGCCGAGTCAGGATTTCCCTAAGCCTTTATTTGGATTCTCACTAGATGTTCTAGGCTCGTGATTTAATGCTAAACAGCTACTCTTCATTCTCATGCATCATTGTCTGTGTCGCCATAAGATTCTCTGTGGTTTACTTGCTCACTATGGTGAAATCAATATATAAGAAAAATGAAAGACGTATCAAAACTAGGGATGTTTGAACCAAAACTTCCCATTCTTCAAGTGTAATCATTTTAAGCTTCTTGGTGATTCCTTCTATTGACAGATTTGTATTTTTTGATACATCAAATGTTTCCTTTGCATCTTTCAGATCACAAAATTTGAAACTTTGAACTTCTCAACCTTGTTTTTCATTTCATCGCCCGTTACTCTTACTCGAATCAAATGTCTTAAAAAAACCCCTCTCTAATACCACTTATTGGGATAAAAACTTGGACTTCGATTGATTTACAATCAACAACCACACTATAGAAAGAAGAATCACACCAATTCAAGAAATATGGAATAAAATTTCGAATATAAACACACAACAAAGTAATCCCCCAAAACACACCAAATTTAATGTGAAAAAAAATCCAAGAATGAGAAAAAAAACACAGAGCCATACCACCCCAAAACTTTTGCTATGAAATAAAAAATGTATAGAAATTTAAACTACACATGTATTCTCTCTACACCATTGAAACCTACAACTATTATGCTCTAAATGCTCTCTTGATCATACAAGAGAAATCACACGCTCTGAAATCCACCTCTTGAATTTCATCGCTCCAAACAAAAGCTCTTTGAGATTTCACCGTGCACAAGAGATTTGAAGAGAGACAGAGAGAAAGAGAGTAGTGTCACTCTAAATCAAGAGCTTAAGAATCGAATCAGGAGAAAAACTACTACTGATGTAATCTCACTGCTCCTCAGCATAATTATTCAGCACTCTGTTTCAGAACCTGAAATAGAAAGACTTATGGCCTAGGTATATCGCTAATTGGCGTAACCCTGTCACCCATCATAGCTAACTGGCGTGGTTGCGATAGTCTTGTGGCACATGGGTGCTCTTTTTGCGCACATTGGGTTCCTTTATCTCTGCCACTGGTGCTTCAGCCAAGGTAAATTATTCTCCACACTCAACAGAAGAAATGATTATAATTCAAGTAGTTATTGTAAAAGAATAAAAAATTAAAAATAATATGAAGACACTTGAAAGTTAGATATAACTTTTATATATTAATTGCAATTTTATATTTAAACAACTAAATTCTAACATATCCTAAGTGTATATTTATATTAATATTCTTTAAACGAGCAGACATATGATCTAACATGTCGAGTTGGGGCTTGCTCATCCTTGCCATATTAGCTCATCACTCGCAGCTTATGGCATCAGTCATTTATCAAGTAGAGGTCGAACTGGCCCATGAACAAAACTCATTTGTCCACAGATTTATCAATTTGATGAAATGACATTAAAAAAAAAAAATTATGTAAAGCAAAAATCAATAAATTTACCATAATTCCTAGGATTCTCAAGTATATCCTTGAACATGCTATATATATCCATGTGTACAAACTGGGATCCTGGAAGATTTTCATTGAGATTATGCAGCATCGGCTTAAGTTTGCCGTTGAAGTTGATCACCAGATTATTAATTTCTGATGAGCAGTGACTGCTTAAATTCTGAGAAAGAATGTATGGAATGCACCCCAACACGCCCACGTTTGCAATTATGAATCTCCGACCTCCAAGACTGTAAAGAGTCTGCATATGAAAAAAAGATTAAAATTTCATGCAAGATTTACATAACATTCCATCTATTTCTATGTATTTACACATCTTAACACACCTACACTTCAATTTCTACATACAGGCCACTTATTTGATGCATGAAAATATGTACTCCGTGGCATGTACATTAGCCAAAGTTGAAAAATATTTACCACTTTACTGCTGAAAATACAAAGATAGGCTACTCACTTCAAGCTGTTTAGAATAACGTTGAATTAGAAGATCAGAAAACTGATCCCCATTGTACTGAAATCGAGTGTTGTAGTTTGGCATGAGATAGTTGTTGAGGTAATCGTTGCTTCCAAATCCAATGAAGAAAACAGAGCGTGCAATGGATTCTGCTGCCGTTTGTGCTCCGAAGAAGTTGTTGAAGTCTTCCATTGTGGACGCAAAGTTTTGGATTTGTTGGTTGTGAGTTCATAACATAAGCATATGGTGCGAGTGAGTTAGTTGTTGATTAGAGTGGGGCATTACCTACATACCATCCTATTCTTTATGTATTTACGTATCTAACATCTATACTTTGTTTGGCACATATGTACTACTTTCATTTTTGCCACTCAATTCCTTAGAAAAGTAAAATTCATCCTTTTTATGCATAAAAAATGTGGTATACATGTCAAAATTGAAGTTTTTGTCTAATATTTTTCAACATGTAGTCCAGCTTCAATCTTAAGAGTGGGTAAGATTATCAAATGCTAACAAATTATATTGATTTTGGTAAGTAAATCTATAGTGAGTGGGTAAACTTACAAAAGTATCTAAATTATATAGAAAAAAAATAGAACTTTTTTTTTTTATCATTTATAGAGAAATCTCAATTCCATGGTGTTCTCAGCCATTGCGCAACCTAGTCTTAACTTAGCTTTGCCACAAGTAGTGTATTTGGCACAATTTTTGGGTTAAATACTTCAATTTCTGACTGAAACAAAGTATTGTAGCTTACAAAATTTCTTCCACTTATGTCCAAAATGCCTGCAGCTGCAGAGGCATAGTTAACACCATTTAAAGCATTATTTATGCTGCCAGAAACTTGGGAGAATGGAGGAATGAGTGGCAGGCCAAGCAACTCACCTGCACACACCAACCACCAATTAATTAGTATGGTTAAATCAACTGATACGGCTCTGTTATTATCATTTTTTATAAATTCAAACATATAATAATAATAATAATAATAATAATAATAATAATAATAATAATAATAATAATAATAATAATAATAATAATAATAATAATAATAATAATAATAATAATAATAATAATAATAAAACTTGAATGCTGGATCAGATGATTTACTATACAGAGACTCGAAAAGATCAACTTTTGATAGGGATGGGTCATAGCTTTAAATGAATTGAATCTAAGGTACTAAGGTCGGCCGAATGCATTAATTGTCACCTACCACGTACATGCAAGAATATATACAAGGTTGATAGACTTGAATACTTGTAACATAATATTTAGATTCGGTGAGAAAAGCAACAATTTATGAAGGTAGTCAGAATTCGACATGAACAAAACCTATTAATTTGTGCTAATTTATTTGGGGCATATTCTTATGTATTGATATATCTAATTACCACCCCAATTCTTTTTATAAAATATCATTTTTTTTGACTTCTAAGAAAATATAAATACATAATGGAGGTTATATTCATGTTATATCTCATTATATCTGTGTTATGTCGCCTATAACATCGATGTAACTTCTATATAACCTACCTGAATTTACAAATAAGTTTCACGCTTCTGTTTTCACATATATGTAGGTTACATATAAGTTACATGGAAGTTACATGGAGGTTATAAGGGATATAACGCGAATATAATGCCTATATAAGACAAATATAACCTCCATTATGTACGCAGCACTGCGTATGTCTTACGTATGCAAATTTTTTCCCCTTCAATACATAGTAAAGATGATATATATGTAAAACTAGAAAATTTAGTTGTTAGACCTGTAAATACATATCAATTGACGGGCATGCATGCATGTAGATTTGTTATAACATTATGTGTGGCTATTTCCTTCAATATTTTGCATGATTACTTTGAATAATTTGTAAAATATTCCATTCCATTTTATAATACCACTAACAATATAGTTAAGAAAATTTATTTTATAAATAATTGGAATTTTCTTGTGACACTTTTAAAAAAATTGTAACAAAACATTGAAAATTTTCTTGCAAATCTAAACAATTTTACACGTTTAAAAATTTTTTTAAAAATATTTAAATTCTCCAATGAAGTTGCAATGTTAAATTGTTTTTTTTAATATATTTTATTATTATTATTATTATTTTGACATTGTTAGTATGTTGGTCTACCATTTTTATTTTGTATGATTCATGTTAAATGAGAGAAATAATGTAATTTCTAGGCATATATATGATTGCTTGTTGATAAAAATAAAGGATTTTACAATTACAATATTAAATATCAATCATAATATATACTTAAAAATTATTTTTTTTTTAGGTAAATTAATATTAATGATATTTTTATGACATTTAACTCTTTGAAAGTGAAATAAAAAAAAATTAAAATAACATAAATAATTATAAAAAATATTGTTATGTATGTAATTCCCCAAATACTAATTGTAGTTAGTGTGGGAGAAAATTTTGTTTGGTTGCCGTCTTTTGGAGAACGACTGATAAGTCAAAATACTAAAATAAGCTCTTTCTGCCCCGAGTTCGAATCTTAATTGGGTCGAATTAGCACATATGAGGAATAAATATTTAGAGAATAGATTGATATGTCCACCCTAAATATCCTTCCCTTTTGAATATATATTTATGCTGAGATTTCGTGCGCACAATCTTAAATATTGATTTTTATAATTTTCTATTTACTGCTACGTACCGATCTCATCGGCAATAGTATAGCCGTTGGCGAACCGGCCGGTCGGGCCGCCGGCGAAGTCGATGCCATAAGGAAAGTAGTTGGCCTTCGCTAAAGAAGGCAGGTTGTTATTGTTACCGTTGTCAATAAGCGAATCGCCGAACACAAACATCGCCGGAACCAATGGCCGCCGCCCACCGCCGGCTGCTTCTTGAGCCGTCGAATATGGAGCTAACATGAGAATGAAAAGCAGAAAGAGAGAAGAAGAAAACCAGGAGCATGATAAAAAGGCCATGGTTGTTAGTTTTAGCAACAAGAGCAGAGGTGCATGGAAGAGGGAGGGAGGGATTAGATATAGAGAGGAAGGGTGGTGTGTTGGGGTTTAGTTTTAAAGTTCAGTAAATAGGTGGGAAGAGAAGCCAAAAAACTTGATGTGATGTTCAATGAAAAATTTCCTTTGGAGGGACAATATCATCAATAGCTATATATTAATATTGATAAGTTGGTAGCTTTAATGAATGTTTGGAATATATACATGATTTTTATTTAGAGGATGGTTAATTTCTTAGGAAGTTAATTAATTAATGAATTACATATCACATTCCTTTAACAAATATTTTATATTATTTATGCTTGATTTAAAAGAAATGCAATGTAGTGAAAAATTTGCAATTACTAGTATCGTTATTTGTCAACTAAACCTTCTCTTATTTTCGAACATTTTGCTACAATAGCAACAGTCATCATTGTCACACCCTGCCCAGGTACAACTATTAGTGGTAGCCCTCATTAACCAGCATGTCACCACCCTCAACCAACCCAATAATCTCCACTCCCTAAACATCATCTTAGTCCATAATTTTTAGGACATCATAATTTCTATTTGGGTTTTCATCTCCTTACTATTTTATTTCTTTCCTTTTGATTAATCTCTTTATGACTTACTTTGTTATTTCATTGCAATATTAGCCCCATGAGCTTATGTGGCTCTTTCATGGTTCATTTTTTTTTTTGATAAATATAAACATTTGTCATCCAATTTTAATTGCTAAGGGCATTACATATTACTTTGTTAATATCAATCAAGATGAAAATAACAACATGAGTTAGATCATTTATGAATGTGATCACTTAAAGATTTTGTCAAGAGAACTATATTAAAAATACTCAGAGGGAAAGGTAAGATTTAAACTTCCCCAAAGTCTAGTTTATGTTTTATTTTATTGGAAAAATATTGAGCTCATATTTATATAGAATGTGAAAGTCCAACTACCAAGTTAAAAAAAAAGATATAAAATTATATTTCAATATTTTTATATATGATTGTGCATATTTTTGGGAATTTATTTAAGCTTATTTTCTATTTATTCAATTTAATGGTATTTGTTATTTACATAAATAATAATGATTAGCAATCATATCCTAACATTTTACTTCATTTTATTATCATTAATTATATATATTATTTGAAATTTTTTCTTCAATTTAAATTTTATAATGCATCATTAAATGTGCTATTAATATATTAAGAATTTTTATTATATTAATTAATGGTATTTATCACATATTTTATGATTTTTAACTATTTTTAGAGGTTCTTACTTGAATTTTTAATGATACATTACTAACTTATCTATGATTTTATACAAAAAGAAAAATTTTAAATCTTATTTAATTAATTTAAAAGTAAATTAAATTCTATAATAAATAATATTAATAAATAAACTATTGTTCTTACTGAATTTAAACTTAATATTTATTTCATTGGATTTATTAGATTTCCATACTTGTGATTTAATATATATGGCCTACTTTCTTAGAAAAAAAGGTTCATATTTATCAATATCAAGAATTATAAAAATTTTAGCTCTGGTTCAAACAACTAGTTGATTATAGCTATTTGTGAATTAATTGCAATCATTGTTATACAAAATACTCACCGAGTGACCACCGAAGATAATTAAAGTGAGTTTATGCTACGTAATTAGATTGATTAGAGTATTCCCCTTACCTAAAGAGTTCTATTATGAATGCTTAATTAGTCATATTAAAGTAGGAATGTTATAACCTAGCAAAGTTTGATAAGATTTGTGGGCTTATCGCTTATAGTAAAATCCTTTGATTACTCCATGTGAAGGAATGATTGGAAGTGTCTCAATTACCCATTTAGGAGAAAACATGTTGCTGGAAGATGTTTCCACAAATTCATAGAGTGAATGAAGTGCTTATGGTGGCAAGCTCTAGTGCAAATCTTACTACTTGGAGTATATGTTGGTCAAGGGATGATTGAACATCATAAATACTTGCATATCCATTTCCAATTGTTGTATAACTCAGATTTATTTTATGTACATATTTACCTAACTTGGCATTTATGCTTTAATATTCTTTTGATGAATGTAATTTATATCCTTATTAGCTCATTTATAATATAAATTTATTTATTTTGTTATCATATTTTTATTTGGTCATGTGTTTTTTTTTTTGATGTTTTATAAGAAATGACTTCACTTAGCTTGTGTAGTGTAACCAGCTTATTCAATTATGTCTAAAATAATATAATGATGAACCATAGGTTTAATTTTTTTTTTTTGTAAGTTCAATGATTTTAACTTGTTTATGAATTTAAATGTGTGTAAATTGTTAGTTTATTAAAGTTTTTTTATAATAGGTTGGAAAGAAATTTATTTATTTCACCCAAAATAATAGCTACTTTACATGTATTTAATCTAATCATATAATATCTAATATTAATATAAACATTATGCATGTATTGCTCATTGAGTTTAATCTTAATTCCTACTTTATTTAATTAATTTATTTTTTTTATAATTATAATGCTACAATTAAATAACCCACTTTCGATTTGAGATGAGTTTATTGCAATTTCTCAAGTTATCAATTATTTCTAGTTATAGCAGCTAGTAAAACGATAAGTTGATTATAATTATTGTGAAATTAATTATATCAATTTGAAACATTTTGATTTTTAATTTTAGATTACTTATTGAGTCCTAAAATACTCTATATTATAGCTTAGTTTTTGTACGAAGATCTTACACATATAAAAGGGAGTAAGGCATGGAAAACTCAAATATTCATGTAAAAATTTAAAGAAGGAAAAAAACTATGGGGCTTATCCTTAATGAAATAATGTACTCTACAAGTAAAATCAAGGAATTTTGCTGTTATCCTCAATTTAAGAAGACAATATTATAAAATAATGCACTTAAACTTGATCTCTTGTAGTTATATTTGAGCTAGAACAAATATAGGGATAATCAAGATCAACCACGCGCCAACCACGTAGGTATACATGTCATTTAGATAGTATACTGATTTGTCTCTGTGCATCGATCCTACGATGAACGAGTTAACTTTCAAATCAGGGTGTATATTTAGTTTACTAATTCTAAGTTTAGTTTGAAACATCAATTTTTTTTATGAAAGTTTTAAAGTATATATTATTATTATTATTATTATTATTTTGTTTTGAAAGTAATCTAAATTAGAGAGGTTTCTAGCAGTGTCAGAATTCTTTCTTGAATTGAATCTAAAAAATCTTGACTCATCCAATCAAATCTGCTATTGTTTATTATCAGGAAAAACAATACTTCTTAGCCTCTTCCAAGGTTTGGGTTCTTATATGACAATTTAATTCCCTAAACTATGCAGAAACCCATATTTTTGGTATTTTTCCTATGTGATTGCAATATTATAGCAACAATATTCATATTCTCATAAAATATTGTATGCCAACCTAATTGTTCCACTAGCCTACTTACATAGTGCTACATCACCATTTTGAATATTTTAAATTACCAATTCAAAAGTAAATTAAGTACAAAAAGTTTACATATCAGCATGCACTTGAAAATAGCGCAATTCACAAAATCATGGATTAAATCTAAATTCCCTTTATTATAGTTCAAGGGAGCAAGCAATTTATTGATGAGACATGGTACATGAAAACAAAATAACATTCATTTAAAATAGAAAATAAAGTTATATATAAGTATGAACAATCAAACCCGAGTATTCAACACTTTGCTCCACATAATTTCTAACACTTTCACACACTGACACTAATGAGAAGAAAAGAAAAGTACTCCCATAATGTGTCTCGCTTATGCTTGTAGTGTTTCTCCACTCTCTTCAATTTTTCAGTCATTGCCGTCTATATTCTTTATTCATCTCCAAGTCTTCAATTTTTGTTATGTTTAAAATGACGGTCTTTTATCATTTATGTAGTCCAAAATGACTCAAAATTGTAAACAACTATCATTCCGCATGACTAGGTGCCTAGGCATTGACCTAGAGCATAGGGCTTCCGCACTCTCGGTAATTTTAGGCTATTTCAAGTGCCTAAGTGCTCAATATAGGTCCTAGGATGCTAGGGGATTTGGCTTCAAGTGCCTAGATGCCAAGGTTTGGTGGAGGGGCACTAGTTTAGTGCTTAGACACTTTATTTTAGGTCTTTTACTCCCAAAGTTTCCTAATCACATCTATGCTGCATAAAGCATTAAAATACCCATGTAAAATGTACAAATAGTATAAACAAAGTTAATAAAAATATAAGAAAACACAAAATTCATCAAATTCCCCAAAACATAAATATCACTTGTTTTTAAATAATTCAATATCTAAAATTAAAAACATTTAAAATCCATGGTAGATTATAAATTAAGATTGCTTTATTCTTTAATAATAATTTTGAGCAAATAATTCTTGATGTCCAAAATTCTTCTTAAGATTAAATTTATTTAGAAACACTTAATTTCTCAAAATAACTGACATTGATACTCTTTCTATATAATTACCTTTAAATCACTTATATTTGGTTGACTAAAATTAGATTAATATATAATTCAATTTGACTAATCAACTAAATAACATTACTTCAATTATTATTAATGTGTGAAAAAATTGCATGAATTCTTTTATGTTTTGCATGTCTTTTTTGATAAAATTATACTTTAAAGAAAAGTATGTTTATGTTTTTTTTGCAGGTATAATAAGTATAAGGAGTGGGGCGAAATGGAAGAGACATGGAGTAAAAAGGAGGTGAAATGGAGCAAGAAGGAAATAGAGTGGGATGGGGCCTCGACACTAGACTTCTGGGGCGCCTAAGAGCCAGGCCCAATCTATGCAAACTGAGAGGCTGACACCTAAGTACCAACTGCTAGGCATCAAGGCCTCAGATGGGAAGCTTAGGGCTTTGGCACCATACTAGTTGGGTGCCTAGCACCAGAACTGAATCAGGGACAGTTACAACAGTTTGACCCACTTGTTTGAAGCATTGTTTGGATGGACCAGAGGCAATTTAAATAGAGGATATTGGAGGTTGTTTCATAAAACTTAAGGATTTTTGAAAGGGAATTTTGGAGAAAAAGGAATTGAAAGTTATACTAATCTTAAAGGTGTT